TTTCACATTTTTGCTAAAGTAACTAAGATTGGGAATTAAATAAAAGTTTAGTTACTTTATAATTATCATTATACTTTTAATGAGGGAGAACTAGTGTCTTATCCTACCCGTTCGGTTAACAACTCTCCACTAGTCAAGGAAGCGGTGGGTGAGAGTGGACACCCACTAAACCACCATTTTATAGGCACTAACTTTATACCCCCTTATAGACCGGCTTCGTGAATGAGGCCTACTAACGATAAATCTGACTAGTCTTATACATACATACAAATATATATATATATATATATTAAAATTATAATATAAAGTATAAGGGTTGAATTTCAACTTTAAAAACTCTAGGGTTTGGAATTAAAGTTTCTTTTAGTGAGACTTTGCAAATTCCAAAACTTGAGGGCAAATTTTAAAACTTGTCAAAACCCTTCAAGTCCATAACTTATGAGTTTTAATGCCATTTAAAGAAGTGATTTTTCCTTTTCCATAACTTGAGGACAAGTTAAGGAGCACATTTAAAAGCATTTAGATCACTAATTTAACTAACACAATAATAAAATAATACATACATGATCTATTCAAACTCATAAGAACAAAATAATTCATATCAAACAAATTTCATGTACCTAATCATATAAACTAATACAAACATGAAACTTTGACAATTATCTTTCACTTGGATGACCATGATCACTACCATATCTTAAAAAACATATTGTTATGATTCAAAACAGTTTGTGGTAATGATCATATCCAATTTTGGCCAAAAACACAAAATTCTGCACTCTGATTAGCCAACTTGACGATTCCATGAACTGGACTCGTCGAGTAGCTTCATTTCTGCATGGACTCGTCGAGTTCCCCAGTGGACTTGGCGAGTTCATCAGGCAGAATGCAGAAAACTCATTTTTTTCAACTTTGAAAACAAGTAAGCATCAAATATAATAGAAAACAAACCTAGGCTATGATACCACAGTTGGGTTTTGAGCACTATAACACTCCTATGGTGCACATGCAACCCTAAATGCTTTGGAACTATGTTTTCTATAATTATACATGCATTTTAGCTTTCCAAAGAATTCACCCTAGCTAGCATACAATTGAAACTATATAACAAAACTTAGTTTGGATGCATACCTCTTGAGTAGGGTAGAGTTCTTGACCTTTGAAAGCTTGAGCACCTCAAGTATGATACCTATAATGGTTCACAAACACCAATATGTAAAAGGAGGCTATAAGAGAATAAGTTACTTGTATTAATTGTAGGTGCAACTGATTTTGGTTTATGGGGGGGGGGGTTCTATTTATAGGTGTGGCAAGTGCTAGGGTTACACTTTGTAAACCCTAATGATCCATGACTTTCCACATTCCTATGCTCCATGGGTTTAACCTTCGTGGACTATCCATGAGTTATCTTATTGATTTAGCCCATCTACATAATCATGGATCACTAGCCCACACTATAAGGATCATTGATTTACATAATCAATCCCTCCATATTTAATTAGTCTCTTTTGATCACAAAATTAATTCCAAATTAATTCTTGATCAACACTAATTAAATAATATTAATATATTAGACTTGTAATATATTAATAAATCACAAATAACCTTATTCTCAAAAATATATCCTATCAAATTGCACTTGTGAACGCAACCCAAAAGGATCATGCTACTATCGGGTTAAGTATATACCAGTTATAGTTATTGGTTTAGACACCAAATCCAACAGTATCTTCCATTAGTGGAATTTTCGTATAACAACAGTTACCACACAAGCATAGACCGACCTCCCTTTGAGATGCTCTACGGGAGGAAGTGTAAGACCCCAATCTATTGGGGATAGGTCAGACAAAGGGTCATGGGGAGTACTGAGGTAGTACTCAAGACCACTGAGAGGATCCAGCAGGTCCAGAGCAGGCTCCAGACTGCTTAGAGTCGACAGAAAAACTATGCTGACAAACACCATTTAGACTTGTAGTTTCAAGTGGGCGACATAGTTCTCCCAAAGGTTTCACCTTGGAAAGGTGTTATCCAGTTTAGGATGCGGGGCAAGCTAGGCCCCAGGTACATCGGTCCTTTCAGGGCTATAGCTCAAGTGGGCAAGGTTGCGAATCGATTGGATCTTCCAGCAGAGCTCAGCCAAATCCACAGTACTTTTCATGTCTCCCAACTGCGGAAGTGCTTAGTGGATGACCTTGCAGTTGCTCCTTTAGAGGTTATACAAGTTGATGACATCCTGAACTACATCGAGAGACCAGTAGCTATTCTCGACAAGAAGACGAAGGAACTGAGGAACAAGAGGGTTTAGCTAGTGAAGGTACAGTGGCAGCATCGTAAGGGCTCAGAGTGGACTTGGGAGCCCGATGAGGAGATGAGGGAGCACTACCTAGAGTTGTTTCCCGACGCAGCAGACTTCGAGGACGAATTCTAAGACAAGTGGGGGATAATTGTAATTCCCAATTCCCTTCAAGTATTTTTAATAAAGATTTATTCATTTTTATATAAAAACTCGACGATTTTGAGTCCCCAAACTCATCGAGTAGGAATGGAAATTGAACTTAGGTTGTAAAGTATACTCGACGAGTTGAGAGCCCCAACTCGACAAGTAGGGCTGCCAAAATGAAACCCTAATTTCGAGGTTTTTCACCCTATTTAAGCATCTTCATTTTTGTGTGTGTTGAAGCTTGTGAAGGAAGGAGAAGCTTGGGGATTCAAGAAGAAGCTAGTAGATCCAAAGACTCCATTTCCTTCTCATCATTTTCTAGTAAGCAAGTCTCAAACTTGCTTAGTAACCTCTTAGATCTCTTTATTATCTTTTTATTGGGTTTTTGGTCCAAGAAGCTTGATCTTTGGGATTTAGACGTCCCAAGTGAGTGTACCATCAGATCTGGAACTATGGAGGGCTATCATGGCGTAAAGGTGCAAACTTTATGTCCATTAAAGCTCCATGCAAGCATTAGGATGTTATTTTGGCCTTATAAGCTCCAAAAGGTCGTGTATGGAGAAAAAGGTGGAAGCTTTACGTGTTTTGTAGTGTCTAGATCCTAGATCTCAGTTTATATGCCTTATTTTAGAGTATAGATGGTGTTGGGACCAAGATTTTGGTCTTAAAGAATTAGGGTTTGAGCTAAAACCATTATGTAAGGATAATAACGAGTAAAGTTGTAAACTTTACCATTAAAAGGACATTTCCAGAGTATATGTGAAGTATGAAGCTCATATTTGAAGAATATGTGTTTAACCCATTGAGATGGCTTAACAGACTAAAGAACTCGTCAAGTCCACAGAGGAACTCGACGAGTTGATTCGAAATGCCCCGACCCCGTAGAAGGAAAAACTCGACGAGTTTAGGATGGACTCGATGAGTTGGAACGATTTGTCCCAACTCTGTAAAGGGCAGAACTCGACGAGTCTATGAGGGACTCGACGAGTTGACTCATTTGATCACGATTATGTTGAGCATCGAAACCGGGCGAGTCAGCGGGATGACTTGATGAGTTGAATCAAGTCGGTATGTTAACTTTGACTTTGACTAGATGTTGACATTGACCTTGACCTTGACTTTGACCAAGGTTGACCCGTGAAGGGTCTTGTGTATAGAATGGTATCTTAGGGGTTGTTTCTGTGTAGTGCGTGAGTAGAGCCGGTTGCAGGAGCAGAGACGTTCAGCTATATCACCCAACATTCGAGGTGAGTTTTCCTACAGTAGGAATGTGTCTGAGGCACCGATGTCGGCATGTTTATGTATGTTAGCATATGTCGGGCTAAGGTCCGATGTCGAGTTGTGCCCAATGTAGGTTTATATGTTTCCGAACTTCGGTCGGATGCCGAAGCAAGCCCGATGAATGTTTATATTCTTGATGTCTTCGTGATTCTTGCATGTGTCTATTTGCATGATTCCATACTTCGGTCCGATGTTGGGGCAAGCCCGATGAATGTTTATATGCTTCCAGATTTCGGCCCGATGTCGGCCGGGGCCCGAGGAATGTTTATATGTTTATGCTACGTGTTTATGTTTATATGTATTTGTTGATATGCTCATGTATACTAGACTTCGGTCCGATGCCCAGCGGGGCCCGGTGCCGAACTTCGGTCCGATGTCGGGCGGGGCCTGATGTTGTTGGCTAGGCCCAAGTTATGTGTTATGTGTTTACGTGGTAGTTTGGGAGACTCGTTAAGATTCGTACTTACAGTTTTCAGTTTTTTTTTCAGGTATTTCAGGTAGCAAAGCGAAGAGTTTGGGATGACTGTAATGTACATACCATTGTTTAGTATGAGATGTTTTTACTCTGATATATTGACAAATGTTTATAATATTTTTGTGAAACACAACTTATGATTTTTATATGATGAATGATATTTATGATTTTTGAATTACCATGAAAATTTTAGACTGTATTTTTGGGATGTTTAAAAAACAATGTTTTTTTTTAATTGATAGGATCATGTATTGTGCAAAGATGCATATTCATTAGCATGTTTTACCTTATACTATCTTTCTGGTGCATTGTAATAGTGATATAGAGTTACATTTGTGGCCCCTCTTATTTGTTTGGTTGACACCCCAACAATCATTCAACCACAAACATAAAACATCACATATACTTATATACGTACATACCGTCTACCATTTTTCTTTATCATTTCCTAAAAGATTTTAATAAATGTTAATAAGAGATACATGTACATTAAAATAAACGTTTTCTTCATCTCAATATCCTCTTAAAAATCATTGAAAACTTTAAATTAAAAAGTAAGAATGTCCAATAGAAAGCGACAATTTAATTATCGTTTGAAAATGAGAAATAAAAGAACGCTTACTTCAAGATTCTAATTAGGATTATAGGCATGGCTCTTATTGTAGATGCTTAAATTAAACATCGTCTTCCTATCGGTTGCAACCTATAATTGATTTTATTTTCTTATTATTATTATTATTATTATTATTATTATTATTATTGCCACACAGGATTAATGTGGCAACAGATTGTCACAACCTAATCCAACAGACCAATAAACATGCATGGTCTAAGATACATATATGTTCCAATAAACATTTTCGTCGTACCTTTATATTATCTTAAGAAACCATAGGAAATTTTAAAAAGCAAGAATGTGCAATTAGAATGTATCACTTTAGTTATGGTTTAAAATGATAAATAAATCCAAAAATCTACACAACACCATCATGCCAAATCAAACATCACAAGCGTAGCTTCCAACATGTATTTTCCCACATCCATAACAAAAATGATTCCCACATCTGCAACAAGAGAGATCGGTCGGTAACCTGAATAATATTATTCAAAATCATAACCGAAAGCAAAATCCATAATATTAACCTGCAAGAAATGCGATGACAACCGTCTTGTTTTTCCACAATAATATTGCAGCTTGGGCACCTTCTCCATTCTTTGCTCTTAGCAAGCTGCATCAACATTATATCCTCTGGATTTCTCTCATCCTCATTCAGGCTTTGAAACTCATTACAATCCATCTCTGAATGCCATGCCACCTTACACTGCGCACAGAACAATCTGTGGCAGTTTGGGCATTCTGACGATGTCACAGACTCTCCACCATCATCCACCAACATGACTGAACAATCTTTAAACGGGCAGTAGAATTTCTCAGAACCCAGGATCAAAGACTCGCACAAAGCTTCCTCCCACCTTTCAAGTACTTCTTTTGGGACTATGGCTCGACAATGTTCAGGGCCAATTACCTCTTTGCATTTTGGGTCCGGACACTTCACACTCGTCATGTTCTCTTTAATCTTCGCAGATACGTGTCCGGATATGCAATCAGAGCAGTACGGATGGCCGCAAACTGTTGCGTTTGAAAACATTTCCGATGAGGACTTTGTGTCCATGCAAATTTCGCAGAAGAAGCTCTCGGATAATTGCGATGCTTCAGATGTCACCACTGGCTCCTTCATCTTCAATGCGTTTGTAGGTGTGGATGTTGCAGGAATTGATGGTACTGATGATGATGATGATGAATCCTTTAAGGATGACGACGACGACGATGTTGATGATGCATCATTTTGAGATGCTGACGATGGCGTTGACGATGTATCATTTTGGGATGATGATGATGATGTTGATGATGCATCGTTTTCGGATGATGATGATGATGTCGTTGATGATGCATCGATTTGAGATGATGTTGATGATGCATCCTGTTGGGATGAAGAGGATGATATTGATGCTTCTGAATATATGAGAGCTTCTTGAAGCTGCAGTTCTTCGGCGTATTTCTCAGAGTCAAGATAGCTCTCATCTTTGTCGACATGGAGAGTTGACACGTCGACAACATTACTACTAGCCATGTTCTTAAGACTGACGCGTTTCTGTATGTGCTGTAAGGTTTTAATCAAACAAATAATTTAATAAAAATTGAATGAGAAATAACATCACAATATATACATAAAGAAACATCAAGCTTTTTGTTGTTTGGTGCTTGTTATACTACTGAAAGGTTTCCTTATACATATTCCATGAAATACATTTTATCAGAGAAACAACCTAAATCTTGGATGGAAACTTAATACGACTAGTTAACAGCAAAAAGAAATGCAGGAATTGAATAACACCTCACCGCTAAAACCCTGATAGAAGTCGCCTCTTAATTTCAAGAAAAGTTTATTGTTTCTTTGGGAACCAAATGCAGAGCTTTTAGAATTTATTTGCAAAAAGGGGTGGTATATTATGTGCCTACAAAATGAATTAGTAACGATGGTATATTCTTTACAACTATAACCCTTAAACTTATATGATATATTATAGTTACATCCTTTCACATTTCATTATTCTACTTTAAATTTTTACTATATTTAAATATAATCTTATTTATTTTAAAATATTTATATAAATTTTAACCAGGTATATCATTAAAATTATATTAAATGCACAAGCATGTCCTACAACAATCTCAAAATAATAATCGTTATTCATAATAATCATCGTATCATTAAGGTTCTTAAAATCATAATGTTGGCCTATAAAATTTGGAAATTTCTTTTTGCAGTCAACCAGATTTTTTGCAAGATATTTGCAAATTGTTGACTATGAGAATAATGATTATTTGGGTATATTTATTTTGATAATTATATATGGTAGAAACTTTTAAAAATAGCTATTATGATCATTTTCTTTTATAACGTTGAATACTAGTAATATATTAATTAAACTAAAAGATTTATAAAAAGTTATACATATTTTCTTTTCTGATTTTTTGTTAAATATGACATTAGTTGTCGAAATGTTTTTAATCATAACCTTTTACGTGGTTACTGGGTAACAAATTAACAAACGTGTATTACTTAAAAATTGATTAATACTTAATCGTGTATTTTACTTTGAAACGACACTGGAAGCTAAAAGCAAGCAAATAACAAACTACATCAAGCGCTAAAGAGAGATTTTGAACCAGCATAGTCGATCACGTAGTTGATTAACACATCTACAAATATATATTGCTCCTATATTTAATTAATACCAGGTTAAAACCTATAGAACCTAGGGGTATTAATTTTAAATAGAATTAAAATATTGATTATGTAATAAAATAATATATTATTAATTTAGAAAAACTTATAAATTGTAATATTATATCTTTTTAATAAGTTTTTAATTTGTAAATATTTAATTACACATATAAATCCTCCTATTTTATAAAAATCATGAGCTTGTATAATGCAATATATTATCAGTTTTGAAGCTTTATTTTTATTAAATACATAGAAGTTGTGACGTACTCATAAGACAAGCATGTGAGGTGTAAAAAAATATTTATTCTTATTAGAACATTACTTTAGATGCATGATTATTGGGAAGAAAAAAAAATTTGTCAGTTAAAACGTTACTTTTCCCAATGTAACTTACAATCCTAATAAATTTCCAACTCCATTATTTCAATCACTACTCATTTTCATTCCACATTAACTTTCATTTATAATTCAAAATCGCAATGATTAATAAAATATTTGCAAGAATTTTTTTTATTAATTTACAAATATACTATTGGTATAGGGCAACAAATGAGCATAGGAGAACAAATGGGATAATATGTAAATAAGATTAAAATAATAAAATACATGTAAGAAATATAAAATGATGATTTTTGACAGACGAATCAAAATACATTGCTATTTACCACATGATTTGACTTGGTATTTTTTTATTCTTACTTTTCTTATTTTTCTATTGTTGGTATAAGGGTAACAAATGATATAATTTGTTAATAAGGCTAAAAATAAGAAAATATATGTAGGAAGTATAAAATGATGCTTTTAATAAACCAATAAAAGTACATTAGTATTTTTTGTTTGATTTGACTTAGTACTTTTTTTCCACTGTTGGCATAGAGGCAACAAAATGAAATAAAAAGTAAATAAGGCGGAAATAAAGAAATATATGTATGAATACCTTATTACTTATAGGCATAAAGCCTGAATATAAGTACCGAATAAATACAAAGCATACTTATCAACATAAGTGGCAATCCACTTTCTAATTTTTTTTGTCATATTTTGAACCTTTAAATTGATAATGTTGTTTAAATCACGGTTGTTTCTCCCAGGCTTCAAATATCCAATTTAGCAACAAAAAATAGATAAAAAAAAAAAGTTAAAAAGTACATGATGTAATAAACAATTGAAAGGAAATTAGTTTTCCCATGATTTAAAGTACAAGCTTACAAGGAAGAAATGATCATTCTAAACATCATGTAGTGAGAGTGCTTACAAGGAAGAAATTGTTGTTTTATAGTGTCAAAGAAAGAAATAGTCTTCCTTTTTTCATTAAATATATGTATGTAAACATAACGTGAGTTGGAAAAAGTGCTACGACTGAAAAAAGAAATTAAAAATATTTTTTTTCACTTGCAGATTGGTTTGGATCTGCACGTAAATCCAACAAAATGATTTAAAGATCTTACACGTTTCATGTTGTAACATCCGGATTTCTAAGTATGTTATTTAATTATTTCTTTTTGAGAATCTTTGATCTACTCGACAAGTTGGTGCTATAACTCGTCGAGTAAAGGCGGGGTGGTCACGTGAGTTTAATGAATTACTCGACGAGCCCAATAGTAGACTCACCGAGTAGGAGCTGTAAGTGGAAACCCTAGATCCCCGGGTTTAGGAGCTATTTAAAGGCACTTATACCCTCATTTGCGGCCACATGACCTCCCGAAGAAGAAAACCTAATCGCCCCTTGAGCTTGTGAGAGAGTCTTGAGCCTTACTTGAGAATTTTGAGCGTATTTGGGTGAAGGAAAGGAAGATTCCAAGCTAGGATTGAGAAAAGGCGGATAGATCTTCTGCTTATTCGTGTAAGAGCTTCTATTGGAGGTATCAAGTTCGAACCTTTCCTTTTATTTGAGTAGATCTCTCATTTTGAAATTAGGGCTTCTTTTCCTTTCATTTTGGGACTTCGAGGATTTGGGGTTCATGAGGAGGCTTGAACTCCAGATCTAGACCTTAGGAGTTCTCCATCACCCAAAGGTTCCTGATTTATTCAACCTTGTTGGTATTTATGAGTGAAAACCCCATTTAGATCATGTTCTTGGCATTTCATGCCCAAAATGCCATGCATAGGCATAAAGTTTATGACTTTATGTGGTAAATGAGCCCTTAGAGTATGGATCTAGAGTTTGAGGAAGTATTCCACCTTAAAATCGCTTGAATGCAAGAAGAGTCTTAACAGACTCGTCGAGTGATGAGCCGACTCGGCGAGTAGCTTAGGGTTTGTCCCAATGAGTTGAATCATGCGATAGCACGATGGGTTAGGGGTTAACTCGACAAGCTGGGTCTTCCTGAGTTCACTAAGAATCGATGGTACTCGACGACTCGCACAGGTGCACTCGGTGAGTCTGGTCAGAGTTGGGTCGTTGTCTGGAGTTGACTTTCGTTGACTTCTAGGGTTAGTCAGCATTTGGAAAACTGGACCATCGGAGGGGTAAAATGATCTTTTTCCCTTTTGGGAGATTATAGGAAGGGATTAGTCTAGCCTATGAGTATCGTTGTTAATTTTAGATAAATTAATTTATGTGATTAGAGGCGGAGGCTAGATCAGGGATATCGAGTATGAGAGTTTACAAGACATCATTCGAGGTGAGTCTTCTCACTATACATTACCTAGAGTGGTATCTATGTGTAGACCGGAGGGTCTTGTGAGCTATGCGTATGTATGAGATTATGTGCATTTTGATATATATATATATATATATATATATATATATATATATATATATGTTGTATAGACCGGACCGGAGGGTCCAACGATATAGACTGGACCGAAGGGTCCAACGATAAAGACCGAACCGAAGGGTCTAACGAGCTATGACCGGACCAGAGAGTCCAACGAGCTACAGGACTGGAGGGTCCCGCTGAAACACATCAACCGGAGGATCGTACTATAGCCTCGAGTGGTGTATGTGTTGTATGTGGTATTTTGAGGAACTCACTAAGCATTTATGCTTACCGTATATGTGATATGTGTTTCAGGTACCAGTGATGATCGCGGTAAGGCGCCGGCATGATCTATTCACACCGATGAAGATTTATGTACTTGAGATTCTGGGGTTGTTTATTGAGATAAAATGTGATGCAATGGATTTTGTTATGAATGAAATTATGTTTTAAAAATGAAAATTTATTTTGGAAATTCACGTCGTTATGCATGAACTTAAAAGAGCTATTCATCTAAATTACATAAATGGTGTGTGAGGAGGAAAACATATTTTCTGAAATATTCAACCTATTGTGAAAAACAAAAGTTGTAGAGTTATTGTATCCTGGCATGATATATGTAGGTATACCTGCAACAATCTGCATACAAATAATTAAAATCTGATTGATGTTTGTTCATGGTTAAAAATGAATTTTAGCATATTAAAGAACCTGAGTATAAAAAAGATATATAGTTATTTGATTAACTTAGATAACTTAGATTGGTTTATGGAAGCCAAATACTACAATTACAAAATGGCATAGAAAAGAAGAGCAGGAAGAAAATGACATGCCAATTATATATATATATATATATATATATATATATATATATATATATATATATATATATATATATATATATATATATATATATATATATATAAATCTTACAAGTTTTGTTGTCGAATTCACAATGATGAGGCTTTTCCTGAGACCATATTCCTAATTGCCAACTAAATTCAAGTGTTAGGTCCAAAAATGAGATGATTGCCGAAAGCATTAAATGTATTTTGACAATATTTTAAGCATTTATCTTAATAACATCCGAAAAATCATTATACATTTATATTTGTACTTCAAAAAAGGTCAACTAATAATAATTTGTAGTGAAAAGAACTCAACAATGAAATGTACTTAAAAATTAGGTTCAAAAAAATGCATCTAAATCAATCGTCAATCCATTTGTAGGTGTAATAAATACAAAATTCTAGACATTGCTTTTGAACCATGAGATGTTCAAGACCCTGTCAAGTTTTACATAACCTTTGACATCAGTTAATAATAAATGCAAAAAAGATAGGTACTTTCTTCATATGTTTATCAAACAATCTTACAATAATTTCGTTGAATTACAACTGTGAAACTTGAAGAAGATACCAATTATATGTCGTCTAAATACAAAAAAGTTCTTGTTTTCTATAATTCAACAAACTTTTCAATTTATGATATTCTAATGATTATAAAATTAAAAACAAAAATCTATAATTGGGTTCATTTTATAGAGTGCATATTAATAAGTAAACTAAATGAGAGGACAATCCTATAGTTTGTAATACTAAGCTTCTTATTCTTTAGAATCAGGTTGCACCCCATAAAAACAGCTTTTTACGACGCTCATTGCGCGTCATAAAAGGCACAGACGACGCGCAAATGCAACGCTCATTTACGACGCACGATTACAACGCGCGTTTACGATATGTAATGCGTATCAAGGAAGGCCCTGTCATAAAGGAAGACGACAAGCATTCGCGTGTCGTAACCTTACGACGCGCATGTTAATGACACGCAATGCGTATCAAGAAAGCCCATGTCAAGAAAGGTCATGTTATAAATGAAGATGACACGCATTTTTACGTATCATAATTTTAAATGTTTAAAAAAATATTATTTATAGATTTACTAATTTTCAAATTAAATTTGTATTTAATGTCTGATAAATAGAAAATAAAATATCATATACAAAAAATACAATCCATTACATAAAATTTAATGTCATACAAATAATCATTCCATATATAGAAAAATAAAACAAATCAATAGAAGTTGTAACAGAAATTTACAAGCTAATAGTTCTAATAACCTAATGTGTGCCTCACTGTAAACAAGATTTGTGTTGATTTTTTTAAATGTGTGCCTCACTTGTCTCCACTCTTCCTTAATAACACCACTTAAGGACTCTAAACCTATGAACTTGCTCACAGTATCTATATTGCCTACAAAAAAAAACATAACTACAAAATAAGTGTGAAGATGGATTATTACAGTGTAAGAGAAGTAAAAGAACCTTGAGCTTCCTCCAATGGGACACATGGGTAGTCAGACAAAATAACACGAGGTTCTTGGCGACACATCTGATCTGAGTCTCTGGAGTAACCAATCTTTTGTTCTTTGGCTTGCTAAAGGAATTGGTTACTGTATCAAGCAAGACACACTGTCAAATTTATATACTTTTTTATTTTTTTTAAGTGTTTTAATGTTGGAATTTTCACTATACTTGGGGCAGTGTTTGTTGGTTTTCATGTGACCAAACTGATGAATCAAACCATAATATCATCACATCACAACATATGTAGACCATACTTGACCTTTGTATTTTATGTTAAAAGGGAAAAAGGCATAACATTTGTAGAGCATACCTGACCACAAGCTCCATATGCAAAACTCTCTCTTGCATTTTTCTTTGTATTTCCAACCTGCATTAGGATAGATCAAGCAACAACTTATTGAACAAAATTATGTTAAAATTTCATCTTCTTTTTTGTGTCAATAAAGAGAAAAAAGTAACTAACTTACTAACCTTCATAATATTCATTCCACCATTCAATATTTTAAGCTTCTTATTTAGCAAACCACCAACTTGTTCAAGGTAATCAATATCAAGATCGACAGCCCCATCGATATTTCCAAACATGAATTCCAAAAGACGATTGCCATCACGATCATCTTCATATTCATCATCATCATCATCATCTGCCAATTAAAATTCAAGAATTTTAAATAGCATACAAGACAAGTCACTGAATTCAAAGGGGTTAAATGTGGAATCCAAATCAGTACATACGGATGGAAATCGGAATCAGGATTCAAAAGCACGTGTGAATCATCAAAACATATTTATATTCTAAATTCTAAACAATTAAACTCATATGAAGATGCTAAACAATGCAACAAGTAAAGGTTTTCAACTATCCAAAATGACATGCTTACAATTATTGTGTGTTATAAATTTACAATATTATTCATAACTCTTGATTGTAATCAATAGTGGTAAGATATGCTTATTATGCCTTTCAAAACAAACTAACACATGATCACACATGTTCTTTCCAAAATTGTTTGCATAAATTTGTGATGGGCATTGATGATGAAGAGTTAAGTTTCAATATAAAATACCTTCATCACGGTCATCAGTGCCCCTACCATCTTGAGAGGTATTACTAGCATCAGAATTCATTATCTATAATGATACCAGCCACATGAGAAAGATGTATTTAGCACAATATGGTTTGTCTTGGAAGAGCAAAATGTCTTCTTAACCAAAGCCATGAGGGAATAAATTGTCTGCCCTCAAGGACATAGATTCAAAATTCAATTTTTTTGTAAAACCTCACTACTGAAACAAATCATCCACATGAATTTACTGGAAGCATCAATGAGAAGCAACCAAAATATGCTAATTCCAAAATATTACCAGTCAAAGAGATAACTTTTCTATTTTCCAACAAAATTTTAAGAGCTATATCCAGGAGATATGCAAACCCCAAAAAGAAAAGACACATAATTTGACATTTGAAAACTATCTGAATTGAATTCAAAGACCAATGTGAGCTCGTTTTTTGTAGGAATAGAAGGAGTAAAAACTATAAGTATAAGTTAAATTCTCTTTACCCGTGTACTGGAATCATTCACCATTCATAGTCCATAACAAACCGACCAAAACCCTAACTTATCAGCGAAAATAGGCAGAAAGAATCAAAAGAGACGGAAATATCGAAGAGGTGGAAAATAAAGCAAATTGAAATCCTAATTCGCTTACATACCAAGAAACTGTCGAACAACGAGTGCAATTGTCCTGCAAAACAAATAAGAATTGATATAAATACATAACCGTGTGTCAAACAATTAGGTAACTTTTTATCGAAGAGGTGATAATGAGCCCGATCCGAATGATGAGCATAACGGGATTAAGAAGCAGAAAAGTAGGGGAGATGGATGTCTCGCCTGAGAAATAAAAACGATCTGCTTACTTGTTGTACTTTTTATTCTCAGTAACAATATCCGCATGTTGCTGAATCGAATGGTTAGCTTTTAAGTTTTGTGAACGAATCACCACCTGCCCAAATGTCAAATGTCCAAAAAAGGATTAAATATGAACATATGGTGAAAATAGAAAAAAAGTAATTACTTTGTATGGGTTGTAAAGAAACTGTTTGAAAGTTGTTCGACTTCCTTTGGCCATGTAGCACTCCAATACAAGGTTTGACGATCTGGTCGAATCTGTGTATATACAAAAACCCATAAGATAAGAAAAAAAATGAAAATATATATTTTTTGTTTTCTCTTATTATAAAAGGAAGGTTAAAAACTACTAATCACAATTCACAAACCTGTGAAACAATTTTTTTCATTTGAGGTTCAAAACCCATGTCAAGCATCCTATCTACCTCATCCAACACAATGTAAGTCACCCTCCTCAGGTTTGTATGATGAGACTCCAACATATCAATCAATCTTCTAGGTGTAGCAATGATAATCTCAACACTTGAAAGAAAAGATTTAAAAAAATGATGATGAAACATGTGCTTTAGGCACAACAAAGATATATAGATATAATGCTGGAAAATGTTGAATAAGCTGAAGAAGCATTAGGATATACCCAATCCATAGTAGCAAAGTCATATTTGAGCTTATCACCACCTACCTTTCTGTAAATCACGAACTGGAGGACCCTTTGGAACCCCACCACAAATGCAAGTATTCTTAATCTTTGAAGATGCGCCAAATTTAGTTGCTTCTTGTTGTATTTGAATAGCAAGTTCACAAGTGTTGGAGCTAAAACTAACACAATCGGTCCATCTCCTTTTACTATGATACTTGTAAACTCGCCGAAAAGTAGAAATAGGAAATTTAAGTGGAGAAATTAAAGATAGAAAGACGAAATCGGAAGTGAATTGGATTTTGGATGTCTGATAGAACGTGTATATATAGTTGATTGAAGGTGTATATATAGTAATCTCAAATACGACCAATTTACAATATGAAATTATGATTAGGAATTCAAACAACCGATCCATCGTACCTAAATTCAGTTCAGTCGACGCCTAAATTCTAATCGCAAGGTACAAAATCGAGTTCAGGTATGGTCGTTTTTGACATCAGGGATGCTAGTGGGAACGTCTCCGATCGTGATTGGGATCAATTGGAGAAATTTTAGGGTTCGCCAAGATATTACGTACCGGGACGATTTGGCTTCGATTGGGTACGTCCCGATTGGGTACGAGGATCATGACTACTTGAGCGTTTCTGGTAAGTATGCTCTTTCCAGATGAACTGCCTTCATTCTGGTATAATAAAAGTGGATACTACTTAGACATATATATACATTTAGGCTCATTAATTAAGTGTGGCCATAAAGCTAGGGTTCCATGATACAAAAGAAGAACTTTGAAATTACCTGGTTCAATTCAACACCCCCCAGAATCATTGTCTGAAGAAGACAAATGCAAGTCCCAACTCTTGGGGTTCCAAATTGACAAAAATGTTTACTAGCACCACCAACAACAAATTTGGCAGGGAAAACAAGTCCATTTAACCAATTAGGGCTTTCTGGTTGGGGAGGCGCAGTGGGGCAGTCATATGGAGTCTTTCTGGTAGTGCTTCTTCGCTGTTTATAGACTTTTCCACTGGATCTGCCGCCACCGCCGTCTACGACAGACTGAGGACCAGAATCCATGGTGAGAGAATGGGTTAGAAGGGGAGAAGTAGGAGGAAGTAGCAACCGACAAATGAAATTGAAAAGTAGAGGCGCTAGACTCCTTTTTTGTTCGTGTCACCACACATCAACACAGAGAAATCAAGAACCCGTGCGGGTTTGATCTGTTCAAAAGATGGGATCAGAGATTTGGTGATATTGTGATTTTTTTGTGGGAGAAAAGAGGATTGCATATGATATTAGGGTTTTTTGGGTATTTGAGTGAGAAAGATAGATAGATAGATAGATAGATAGATAGATAGATAGATAGAGAGAGAGAGAGAGAGAGAGAGAGAAAGAGAGATAGAGATAGAGAGATAGAAAAGAACGATGGAAATAAGGTAGAGGATAGCAATGGTGGCCTTTCAAACTTTTGGGATTTTCGTTTCCCCCCAGCTGCAAAAGAAGAGAACGCGCCTTTCATTAAAAATATAAAGCTATATTTCTAGACGACACTCATTTTTAAATAAGTGCCCTCCGTGTTTTTTTTTGTTGGTCATTAATTTTAGGGCACGCACAAAAGCGTGTCCTCTGTCCTTCAAATTTTAGAAGAGATGACATTAGTTTTAAGGCACACGCTTTTGCGTATCGTAAATCACTGCGTGTCATTGTTTGTGCGTCATTAAAGGGTTGTTTTCTAGTAGTGATCTCTCCTCGCCAATACTTCCTAACAATATATGATCTATAGGTCTCACTTCATAACCAAACCTTTTGTGCATCACCTTGTAAAGAAGATGTAATCAAATCAACAAACCCATCTAGTAAAGAGAAACCCAACTGAGGGCTCATCTAGAACGTAATCAATTTATGAAAAATTAAAAAAATAATAATAAATGTAAAGTTAAAACAATAGTTCCATGAAGATGAAAGAAGAGAAAAATGAACTTGACATCTAGGATTGGAGAACTCTATTGTTTATTATTGATTTTTCAATATCTACAATACATATGAACTCACATATCCAATTTTTTCCAACAACACTTAACAATAGGGATGAACATATGGATCGAGGAACCGGTCGGAACTAGTACTGGAACCAGAACCCGATAGAACTGGTCGGGCCGCGACCGGGATGTTATTTTTGTGGATTTTTGGAACCGGAAACCGGTAGGAACCGTAATCGATATAACCGGAACCAGTAGAACTAGCAAAAACCGGTAGAACCGGAACCGTATGATGCTATTTTTCAAGGATTCCAACATTTGAAGACATGACAAGAACCGGTAGGAACCGGGAACTGGTAGAACCGTCAGGCCAGTTCAGTTCTTGATTTTGGCCGAAGCCGGTTCTTGGGTCGTGTCCGGTTCCAGCCGGTTCGGTTCTTTTGCTCATCCCTACTTAACAACATGTAAAATAATATAATTGCTTGTGAGACATTTCATCAAAAACTTGTTCTACACAATATATATATATATATATATATATATATATATATATATATATATATATATATATATATATATATATATATATATATATATATATATCAACCAAGTTAGCCCTACAATTAGGAGTCAGAGAGGTTACCGCTAAAAAAATCTTACTGGTTCAATGATTGTTGAAAGAAACAAAAGGTTACCAAATAATCTCATCTCCTTCTACCTCATCTACGGCCTCCATCTCTACGTCAAACCCTGAAACCACCGCTTCCACCACGTCCTGCAATCAAAGATTCCCAAATTTGTTTAATATAAATATCAAACCAATAAAGAAAATAAAATGATTGTTGGCATTAGAGGGAGAAACATACCTCCTCATATTGGAGCTCTCATTTTTGTAAACAAGAAGAGGATTAGTGTTGTTGTTGTTTGCTAGAGTTTATGTATGAAGTGGTTAGGGCAAAATAGAGTGTTACTGATAGGACCACTTACAAAGATGTGAGAACCGGAGGGGTATATTGGGATGAGAGAGGTGAAGGTGAGGAAGATGGTATCGATGGAGATGTATAGGAAATGCATAGCGAGTATGCGTTAGATATATGCAGCTTGAAGCCCTAGCCAATGGATTTAAAATTTGGAGAAGATTACGTATGAAACATCCCAAAAACACGGTCCAAAAATTTTGTTCTTAAATCATCAATAAAACCATAAATATCATCATCATATAAAAATCATAAACCATTTATCTTAGAATAAGGTAATATAGTCATCATATCACAAGCTCATATAAATTATCAGAGTGAACTCCCAGGCTAAGAAAATTGTGGTGTGTGCCATGCGATCATCTCGAGCCCTTCTCTTTGCTAGCTGAAGTACCTGAAACCAAAACTGAAACGGTAAACACGAAGCTTAGTAAGCTCCCCCAAACTACCACATACCATACACATAACATATCACACATAAACAACTATAGGACACCACCTAACTGCATCGGGACGATCCCGATATCAGACTCCTATCTGGCATCGGGTTCACCTTGACATCCGACCGCATCGGGCATCGGGTTCACCCTGGCATCGTGCTTGCCCCGACATCGGGCTTACCCCAGCACATACACAACATAACATACATCATAAACACATAACATAATTACATAATCCATATCGGGCCTACCCCGACATCGAACCGAAGCCCGGAACATATAACACATAACATATAAACTAACATACATCGGGCTTCCCCCGAAACACATAACGCATAACATATAAACTAGCATACATCGGGCTTGCCCTAGACACATAACACATAACATATAAACTAACATACACCGGGCTTGCCCCGGAACACATATCACATAGCATATACACTACTATACTTTAGGCTTGCCCCAACATCAGGGCGAAGCTCGGAACACATAACACATAACATATAATATCCATGAATCACAAAGACACCACGCACAATAACTACTTCTCGGGACCGCCCCGACATCAGACCAAAGTCTGGAAACATATAAACTACACAGGGCTAACCCTGGCATACTATAACTACATAAACAAGATAGAATTAATGCCTTAGACTCGTTCCTACTGGAGGAAAACTCACCTTGCGAAGCTGACTGGGGAATCCTGTGAATAACCCCTCGCTGCTAGCTGGCAAATCCCTACATTGTTGATCTCTCAACTCCCGAGCTATCAATACCAAAATATCACTTAGTCCAAAACAATAATCCTCCTTAGGGAAAAATGACCATTTTACCCTCTAGTCCAACTCGATCCATATCTAAGGCTTGAAATCATATTATAAAAAGCCCAACACTAGATGGACGTCCCAAACCCACTAGTCGCCCACTAATGGCCAATTTTGCTAAATTGGGCCCAATCCCTCTAATGGTCCTTACCCAAAGCCCAAACATCTTCTTGGCCCACATTATCTGACTTCGGATGCCCCCTAAGGCCCCAAGAACCAAGGTTAAATGCATGGCCCAAACCGAGGCCCAAAACTCGCAAGACCCAAATCTGATGAGTACGTTGGGCGTACTCCTATATACGTTAAGTGTACTAGCCAAATGGTGTGTATGTTGGGTGTACCTGCATGTACGCTCAACGTACTCCCTTGTTAAGTCAATTTCCCATTAAGTGCTTAATATTTCGATCCCAGATGCTAGAATCACAGATCCAAGTCCTTTTCAACATATTAATCCATAAAGTCACTGACTTGGTGACTTTGCATGCCGTAAACATGTCCAAACTCCAAAAATGATATTCTACTTCCATGAAAGTGGTCCTAGATCTTGCATGAACCTATTAAGACCACCAAGATGACGACTTTCAGTCTTAGGGAGTCATTTAGCACCAAAGGTGGCAACCCT